GAGAAACCTAGGAGTATAAATTCACTCACAGAAGCAAAACTGGAGTCTGGCTTGGAGACATTCATTGTGTCAGTAATCTGCAAATTTAAGAGAAACATTATTATCAATATGGCTTTTTCAAAATATGTGAATTTTTAAGAATGAAGAGAAGGAGGGCAAAGGGCATGTCATTTGCAGAAAAAGACCATCAGTTAAAAACATAATTTATTCCACGTCTTCTTGACCATGTACCCTGTTTCTTGTCAGAAACCAACTTTTGCCTACTTGTGAGCCTCTCTCTTGCTGCATGGCCATGAAAGAAAGAAGCAAAGTTAAACTCATTTTGTAAGCAGGGTGGTTTGCAACAGGCATGATCTATGATAATTTCTGGCTGGGACGGAGCACAAAATTAGCACTTAATAAGTGTATTACTTTCTTACCTATACCCATCTATCCTGCAATAGAGCCAGGAAAGGAGATTTTAGGTTCAACATGACTATGTGCATCTTAGTTCGAGGTCTTACTTATGTCCTATAAAGATGCAAAGGAAGCAGATATCTTTTGGAGTAAATTGCCATTCCATTAAAGTGAAACTGCTTCTTGTTGCCACAAGCATCACACAAATGTCATTCCATACGTTACTTACGAACACTGACTATGAAGGTTGTGGTGTGGCAGTAGCTTTTGTTGATAAAAATGCTCTTACGTTTATGTTTAATCTTAACGTTTAAAGACACTTTCAAAAGGATAGATATGTAAGAAGCTTTATTATTTTTTTAAATGGCACTTGTTCTCTAAATATTCAGGATTGATTTTCTTTATGTGGTAGTGCAACATGAAACAAAATTCACATGACTGATTCTGTGTGATGGAAGTCCAATCCTTTTTTAGTCATGAGTAAATGCCCTTCACTTCCCATCTCATGGAAAAGATATGGGGTATTCAGGCATGGGCGTTTGGTGAGGTTTTGTGGCATGTGTTCGGTGATATTTAGTGATATAAATCCCAGAAACTCTGAGTACTTACATTCTGAGCACAAACACAGAATTTTCCAAACGATGTCTCCCTCCAACCTACTGTCCACTCCGCTGCTCTGGGGTGTCGTTTGAAATGGCGAGGTGGAAGCTGTTTGCGCTTCATCCAGTAACATGTATCCCTATTTAAAATATCCTATATTAGGAGCATTATGAAACGCTCATTAAGAAATTATGTAATGAAAGGGGTTGGCACACGGATGTCAAGATCGTCAACAATGCTTAAAAGATGCTCAGGATCAAATCCCTAAAGGAGCTGTTTGAGGAATCTTATGGCTTCTGTCGCCAGCCAAATAGAGCTTTATTACTGCACAACAGTTAAGCATGTTATTTCTCCATCGCATATTCACCTGGGACTTGACTACTACAGCCTAAAAATCTATAAATGTTTAATGATTTCATGTTCTCTGAGGAACATGTCGATTTTTTGTGGCACAATCATTTGCAATAAGTTCAATGCTATCCTGATCCAAATATCATCATCTTTCTGCAAAGAATGGGAAAAATGATTACCAACTTCATATGGAGAGAGAAGAAACTCAGAGTTAGCAGTGAACTCCTGAAGAAGAAGGACAAAGTTGGAGGGCTTGCTTTACCTCACTTTAGTACCTATTATGCAGCCAGGGTGGTCAAAACAGTGTGGTATTGGTAAAATGGTGGCTATTCAGAGCAATGGAAAAGGACCGAAATCCCAGGTATTCAGCATACAGACAACTGATCTTTAATAAGAGCCCCAAAAATATCAAATGGGAAACGGATGCCATCTTCAATAAGTGGTGGTGGATGAAATGGATTTCTACCCGCAGAAAATTAAGCAAGACCCTTACCCGACTCTAAGAACAAGAAGAAACTCAAGTAGATCACAGACCTAGAGATAAAACCCCAAACTATTAGGGCCATCAATATGGGAATTGGGACAAAGTTCCCTGACAACTTTGACTCAGGAAATACATAGGCTATCAGAAATAAGAAAGGATACAAACAAAGAGGAGGCACAAATCAACACATGGGGTAAAATCTAAAGTACTCTACTACTATACAGCAAGAAAAAAATAACAATTGCCCACTGAGGAGGTGGGCAAAGGACCTGAAGAGAAGTTTCTCAAGGGCAGAATTCCAAAGGGTCAATAAACATATAAGAAAATGTTCCAGATCCGATGTTCCTACCCATAGGAGAAATGCAAATTAAAACAACTCTGAAATACCACCTAGCACCCTCAAAGATAGCGCAATTCAAAGAATCAGAAGGTAACAAGTGTTGGAGGGGCTGTGGTGAGATAGGAACTCTCGTTTACTGCTGGGGGACCTGTAAGTATGTATAGCCATTATGGAAATTGATTTGTCGATATCTAAAGCAGATGGAAATTGAGCTACTATACGACCCAGCAATCCCCCTACTGGGCACAGACCCAGAAGAGACAAAAAACAAAGCACAGCCAGACATCTGGGCTCCAGTGTTCATCATGGCACAGTTCACAATTGCAGAGTTGGAAACAACCCAAATTTCCATCAACGGATCAATGGATTAAGAATCAGTAGTACATACATACAATGGAGTACTATGCATCCCTAAAAAGCTGTGTTGAACTCATAAAACACATCATTGCCTGGGAAGCACTGGAGGAAATTATCCTAAGTGAAGTAAACCAAGCACAAAAGGACAAGTACAAAATGAGCCCACTCAGGTAAGAAAAAAAAAGAAAAAGAAAAAAGGGGCATATGGGAAAAACTGCTATATAAATATATTCCTGGGGTTTGGTCCAGGTACTAAGGTAGGTGCCAAACCCAACCCACGGATATGTATGGCAGCCAACAACTAAGGAGGGGGGAAAAAAGAGAGAGGGACAGTGGTACTGGGGGAACAGGTCACTAACCAACCACCTGGCACTCCAAGAAGTGAATGCAACATACAGGCATGAAGCAGGGACCCAATAGAGAGGTCTACAGTGTGACCCCCAATCCCAACTAGGTGGGCACCACCTACTCCCCCCACCTCCAGAGGGATGCATTTCAGAGGACTACACTGAACCTGCAGCTCAGATAGTTGGGTGCTTATGATCAGGAGCAAGTGTGTGGGAAACAGAAGGATTTCTCTCAAGCTGTCTCCCCCAAATATATGCCAGACTTAGCTTCTTGAGAATGACTGTACACTTGGAGGTCATCAGGAGTGGATTAGGGGCCATTCTCCCTGAGAGTTATCAGCTGTCTAGACCAAGCAGACACCACTGTTTATCCCACAACAAGTAGGTCCCACTCCCTTCTGATAAGGATAGTAGTTGTCTGTTTCCTTGTAGGAGACACCAGAGAAGTCAAACCCTCCCAAGGAGGACCAAGGTTAGGCTGCCATCATGAATCTAGGGTCTTGTCACATGTATACCTCTAGACCTTCCCATTCCTATGTGCACACCCCTAGCTCATCCCCTTCCTGTTATGCTTATGCCTATCATAGATCCCCTTCCTACAATGTGTGTACCTATTGTACTTCCCCCTCCTGTGACGGGTGATTCTGTAATCATGTCCCACTAAAGTGATATAATGGTTGGTTAGCAATAAAGTAAAGGCTTTCCCCAATTCCCGGGGCCCTCTCTGGCTCTTGGGCCAGGAGAGGCTCCCCAGTTCTCGGTCCCTGAGGTTGCTCCTGCTCTCGTGGCCAGATTCCCCCCATGAGGACCATCAAGCGGGACTGAGGTGAGCAATGCTACCATGAACTGTGTCTGACTCCATTTATTCCAATCTCTCCTCTAACTCTCATGCTCTCTATGACTTTACTATAATTCTTACTTATTGTAATTCTTACAAACACAGAGACAAGGGAAGAATAAGTGATCTAAAATTGATAATGAGGAGGGCATAGGAATCTTGGTGCCCTTGATCAAGGGCAATGTAGCACAGAGGAATTACCAAAATGTTAAGGAAGACAGAACATGATAGTGGGGCAGGCGGAAAGTAAAAGGAAATAGAGGAAAGAACTGGGTGGCAAAGGACATTTATAGTGGCCTAAATCCAGGCATGTATATATGTAAATACATTTATATATAATGACAGGGGAGTAGGTATATGTACATATATTTTTATAACGTATTATGGCAGCAGATGGACATTGGGCCTCCAGTGAAGTACTCCCTTAAGGCAAGAACAATGTATTCTACTAACACTGCACTCTGATGTTCACCCTCCCTGACATGATTGCTGAAGACAAAATGGGTGCATAAGCAAATGTGGTGAAAGCTAATGTTGCCCAGCTACCAAAAGATATAGCATCTAGAATCTTAAAAGGTTGAAGATAAACTAGCAGCCTCTAGCTGGGAAACAATAAATCCCACATGGAAGAAGCACACCAGCCTGTGTGATCATGAGGTGTCAATGGGATCAGGTATCAGGCATCAAAAACCCAAAACCAAACAAACAAATAAAAACATACCAATGGGAATGAGGGGGAGGGCAGAATTGAGACCCAAAACTTATCATTATCAATTGGACACCCGGTGTCAGAAGCACCACAAGGAAGAGATGAGCCAGTCAGGGTGCAGTAAAGTGCTAATGGAACACATAACTTTCCTCTAGTTCTTTAATGCTTCCTCCCGACCCACTATCATGACCCCAATTCTATCATACAAATCTGGCTAGACCAGAACATGTATACTGGTGCAGATAAGAGCTCGTAACATGGGGAATCGAGAATGAATAAAATCCTCAGGACCAATAAGAGGAGCAGCGATACTAGGAGAATAAGGGAAAGCAGGGGGTGGGGGTGGGGGCGGTGGGGGACAGGATGGGGAACCAATCACAATGATTGACGTATGGCCCCCCTCTCAGGAGGACAGACAGCAGAAAAGTGGGTGAAAGGAGACAGCAGTTGGTGTAAGACATGAAAAGAAGTATTTATAAATTATCAGGGGCACTTGGAGAAGGCAGGGTGTGAGAGGGAGGAGAAAAAATGAGGAGCTGATACCAAGGGCTCAAGTAGAAAGAAAA